AAAACTTTAAATAATCATAACCAAAACCACGAGGTTGTGGTGTATGTAAAAAATCATATGAGTTTTGAATTCGAAGAAGCTCATATGAATGAAGCAAATTGCTTAATAATTAATTTGGGCAAGTCGTTAGTCGTTGCCATATATAGGCCGCCATAATTTAGACAGATAGATAACTTTCTTAAGTCCTTAAGCTCAATCTTAATTCAACTGTCACATTAAATATATAATAGCTGATATTCATATAAACATAATGGAAATGACTGCTGACTCAACTTCGTATTCTTTCGAAAGACATTCTTGCATACCATGGTTTACTGCCCGCAATAAATACACTAACACGTGGAACAAACCGTTTAGACCATGTTGTATAAAAGGGCTCACGTAAAGCCTTAATACCTTTAACCTACAGACATCGACCACTGATCATCAGGCGGTATTATCATGCATTCAATTAAAAAACCTCATATAACTATGACCATATAAGAACTAAACATAAAATAAACTGGGACGGAATTAAACACAATATCTTAGCAACAGACTTCACCTCAACTAAATATAACAATGACCCAAATAAATCTATTAATGACTTAATCGATCTCTTAACTTCGATAGTTACAAAAAATACAATTATTTGTAAAAGCAATAAAAGAATCACTAACATTTAACCCTGGATTACGGTACGATTACTTAGATGTATGAAAAGAAGGGACATGATGCACAAAAAACTAAAGAAAGATCCAGCAAACCACACTACGAATCACCTATATTTAAACGCTATAGGATCTATTGTAATATAATATTGAAAAAGGCAAAACAAGACTATGAACGCGAAGAAATAAGATTAGCACAAAATAACCCGAAAAACCTGTGGGAGAGCATTAATTTAATAATTAACAAAACAAAAGAAGATACACAACCTGCTGTATCTAGGAACTTTTAAATATTGCTAATAATATAATAATGCAACATCTATTAATTTTGTAAATAAGAACTTTGCGAACATGGGTCAAGAATTATTAGCTGATAAAATCAGGACCAACCAAACAGCATTACAATTCCCTTCTGAAGTCTCAACTCCTCTTGAATCTTTGTGCTTCTTGAGACGAATGCGAATGAAGTAGAAAAATAAATATACAAGTTAAAGCCTCATTGTTCTCCAGGATGGGATTCCATAACATCTGCTCTTCTTAAACCGGCAGCTAAGACTCTCTCACCTGTACTTTCCCACATCATTACCAATAGCTTTAATTTAGGTGTTTTCCCTGATACTCTAAAAAAATCCATTATATATCTCATCATAAAGAAGGTGACAGAAACTGCGTTAGTACTTATAGGCCTATCTCTATATTGACCTCACTATATAAATACAATTTTCGAACGTATTATAAACGCCAGCCTAGTTAATTATCTGGAAAAACATAAAATTTGGTCAGTCGCAATTGTATGCTGCAGCAGCGTCACTTAGGAGACTACGTAATTTTCTATCCGTCACCACCAAAATTGCCTTAGCACAGTCTTTATTGCTTCCTATACTTGTTTATGCCGACGTCTGCTATCTAGATCTCACGGAGGACCAGCATAATAAACTTGAGCAACTTCAAAATTTTTGTATCCGCTTCATATTTGGCTTGCGCAAAAATGATCATGTTTCTCAATTTCGTTCACAGCTCAAGTGGGTACCTATTCGCCTTCACAGGAATTCTCATATCCTTTCTCTTCTTAACAACATATTGTTCAATCCCAAATCCCCATGCTATCTTAAAGTAAGTTTTACTTTCCTGCATAATTCTAACACGTTATCTTTAAGGTCATAAGAAACTTCTTGCTCTTATGACTCCCGTACACGGCACAACTTTTTTTCACCGTTCGTTTGCAGTGCAATCTGTACATCTATGGAATTCTCTTCCGGATTCGATAAGACGTGCGGAAATTATTTATATATTTAGAAACCGTCTGAATTCCCATTATCTGACATTGTAATACTTTTTTTTTAATATCTGATGTGCTTACAACTGACTCCTAACTGGACTAAATCAATGTATGTATTTGTATTTATAGTTATATGTGTGTGGTGTATGTACGTATATACTAATATATTATATATTTAACTAGCGATTTACACCGCCGTCTCTCCCACTTACTTCTAATCCTCTCCATCCATAGGTAGCCTGGAAGAGATCGCTTTAAGCGATAAGGTCGGCCATTGCATCACTTGTGCTAGATGGTTTTGTACTTAATGTTCAATGTTTTTTTTGCGGTGTACAATAGAGCTTTTGTATATTTTTTTTGTATTGTAAAATTTTGTCCCAAGGTCAATATGGATTAAAAAAAAAACAAGTTTCTACAGATGATGCTCTGCATTACATTACCAACTTCTTAGTCATAAAAATATTGCTTGACCTGAAAAAAGGTTTTTAAAACGGTGTCTGTTTCATTACTCATAAATAAGCTACAAGGTATGGGTATCAGGAGGAAGCAAGTAGACTTACTAGCAAATTATCTTAGAAATCAAACTCAGTGTGTCAAAATAGGTTCTAATATAAGTAATGATTTACACATAACTTTTGGGGTCCCACAGGAGAGCATCCTTGGCCTACGCTATTTTTATGCTACATAAACAGCCTCTATAAACTGTCACTAACAAACTGTAACATAGTATCCTATGCTGATGACACCACTCTTACCTTTTTTGGTGATACATGGAAAGATACCTTATCAGCAGCTCAACAGGGCTTAAATACTGTACTTGGCTTGTTGGCTGCATACTCTTTAAATTTAAATCCAAATAAAACTTAGTTGATGATTGACCTTTACCACACGAAATTCACATAACTCTGCACTTCTACCAGATCAATTATCCTCATTACTCACATCTGTTCAACAGCTAATAAATCCTGTGGGTGTCCATCTATTCACCAAACGCAAAATATTAGATATCTGGGTACTCTTATAAATCAATATTTTAATTTTAATTAAAATATTTCGAAATTAACAAATAGAATAAGAAAACTTACATACCTATATTTATTTAAAAATCTACATTATGTTGCCAATCCAAAAACATTTTTTTTTCAACACACCAATTAACCTATCCCCAAAGTAAGCACTATAAGGCTTGTGTTATGGAATACTAGGGTAACGAATATATTACATATACTGTACATATATAAGTATTTTGATACAGAAATACATATTGAACATTCATGACTGGAGTAGAAATGCTCGTATTCATCACAAAAACATCTGCCCCCACCGGGATTCGAACCCGGGACCTCTCGAGTCGGCGACACCATAAAACCCTGCGTACAAACCACTCGGCCACGGAGTTCGTCAAACTTTGAAAAATACCTACTACGCTTTTGTACATTCTGTACTATCCCAGTATATAACTGTATATGGTACTATATATACATATATATATATATATATATATATGGAATGGAGCACCAAAAACAAAATTAATTAAATTAGAGAGAGCACAGAGACTTACAGCACGAAGATATACTACTGATGAACTGTATAAAGAAGCCAAGGTACTAATGGTTAGGCAATTGTATAATCTTGCCACAATACTTTATCCATCTTTCATATTTCGATAAATGGAGGTATTGCAAAGTTTGTAAAATAACTAGTTTTTAAGAATTTTAATAAAAAATCTTATTTTTTAGAGGGTATCGAATATCATTAACAAAAACCTACATATTATTAACATGTGTAGACATGAAATTAATTCTAAACTTAAAAAAAACTTATTTGAACACGCTTATGACGACACTGAACAATTACTGAATATGTGCCAACCTTATCGAAAATTAGTTTAAAGTACTCCTTAAGGTCAAAACTATTAAAACATGGCAGATCCAAATAAAATTCAAGTGTAATATGATTTTGTATTTGTATTTTGTAAAAACATAAAGTTGAGAATCTAAGAAGAAATGAAGTCTGAAATTAAAAAATTATATCTCAAAACTAAGTTTGGGTGGGTTGGATCCTTTTCATTTAACAATGTCCAATTGTACTTTCCAAAAACTTCATTTTATCAAACTTACCAATGCATATTATGACTTGTGACCATGGAGGTTACAAGATCCATGATGTGAAAATGTTAAAAAGTGTTTCAGTGTATAACTGAAGCGTGAATTAAAATATATTAAATGCAGTAGATGTTATAAAATATGGAGGTGTAAGGTGTCTTAAACCAAATACAGGAAATTTTATTATATTAGTTTGTAACTACTTATAATAATAATTTGATACAAGCCAAAAAACATATAAGGTACAAAAATTTTGCAGCTATTAAATTTATGAGACAGTACTGGAATTTATTGTTTACATAAGGCAGTAGTCATATAATGAAAAAGTACAACTGACCCTAGATAGGCTTTAAATAAAGCCTGTGTTAAGGGCTTTAGACCCTTCCAACTTATATACTTATGTAATAACGTTGTTATACTGCAAACAAAAGGTAGTGCTTTTGTTCGCAATTTCATTCGTCTTGAATGTTCTTATATTTTCCCGTAACAAACTTGTACAAAGGATTAGAAACCTTAAAGATTTTTTTTTTACCTTTGTGCTATTTGTTCATTTAATAGTCTTTCTCAAGTTTTTGTATCACAGAGGAATACCTACCCATATAGACTTTGAAGTGTTTCAGACTTAAAGGGTATATTCTAAACTTCATGTTCTTTATTTCATAAAGCTATTATAAAGAGTTTTAAATTGTAAAAGTGGCTGCATCAATTGAAATCATAGCAAAATGAGGTACCTATTTAAATTCTACTCAGTGATATAATTAAGTAGAAACCTATAATATTTTGTATGTATTCAACAGAGCAATTCATAAACAATGAGAAGTTATTAACAGAGTACCTTTTTATATCATACAATTTTCATTTGAATATACGTATGTACCTATTTGAACCTGACAGCGAATAGACTATTACAATTGTCTTACAAATAATGCGACTGTTAAAAAAATAAAAAACATATTATTAACTTACCAGGTTGATCACTGTGCTCATAAACTGCAAGTTTTTTGTTCAATAATATAATATAATCATACACTCATATTATTTCTTGAACAAAAGTCTTAGGATCTCAGGCAAACTCACAGTCACAATACAAATATATTAGAAAAAAATTATTAGGAGCTAAAAGTAATTTTTAACAAAACCTCACAAAACTCAACTTTACCAGAGTATCTATAGTTTTGACAAGACAATATACAATAGTGAAGCAAGGACATGAGATTTCTATAAATGTCGATAAGTAACTAATAAGTAGTATTTTACCTGTTTGTCTATTAAATACTTACGATCCAAATCCATAGCATGCATGAGGCTCTCCAAGATTATAGATGTTGGAAACAAAGAGCCGGCACTTCACATGGCTATTAGTATTTGGTATTTATCATTTTGGCAGCAGATTGTTCTGGTCATAAGTACTGTATAGGGAGTGAAAAGGAGAGACTGTTGTCTATTTTATAAATAGCAAATACAAACAACAAAAGAAAAATCACAAAAGTGATAACTTATACTAATATAAGCGGCTCTGCGGGTAAGAGTTAGAGAGGAGGAGCCTGCCTACCGTTGCCGTATAACGAAGCGGTTTACCCTCCATAAGAAGTTATCACTTCAAATAACACGGTAAAGAGCGTATTCGTAAAATAATTTTAATTGCAATAATTATTATTTATTCAATAAAGTTATTATTAAGTCAATGGTGCCAATTCTGGCGTGATTCTCTAAACTTAAAACTAAATTTGACATCAGTCTCTCCTTTTCATTCTGTATAGAGAATGACAAGGATATACTGCTGTCAAATTTAAGTTTAGGTTTAGAGAATCATGCTAGAATCGACACCACTAGCTTATAATTATATGCAAGTTATATAGGTACCAAATAATTTTAATATTCAAGTTATCAAAAGACTTGAATTGTCTTTACTTAAATGATAAATAGCTACTTACCTATAAAATTGTACATTTTTAATACACTTCATTCCTAGCTTTAAAGAGCTCAAATATTGCTCTTGGTACCTACTGTATTAGTTTTATACCAATGGCCATAAATTTTTAAAAGAGACCACAAGTTTATTTAAACAATGTTGTTAAGTGTTCAGTGACAAAAACAAAAGTAAGTACCGATTTAACTACCTTGTACATCATTGAAATTTAAATAAATGGTTTTTAGGGTTTAATAATCAATATTCAAAAACAAAGGTTACTTTATTTTTCTTAGACTAAAGATACTATCGATACATCCAGATAATATCGATAACTATCTACAACATCCCTCTGTCTACGCTTCAGTAGTTCAACGTGCTTCACGCTCAAAAACACGTGAGCCGGGAGGCAGATATATGTTTATCTCTTTCTATTTAACTGCTGCTTACTCAGGATCTGATCAGATCATTCAGGCACGTGGCCGTAGAAAGAGAAGGGTGTCGCTAATTAGAATAAAAAGTACGTAGGTGCCTGCCTACCTACTTATTATACATCTTGTATTTTGGACTTGTACGTTGTTTGGTACTAATACGTAAAGGTAGGGCTCTATAAAAATAGCAATAACTAGGTACTTTTGTTAACGTGCGTTATGAATACATCATCAACATTAACTTAACAGAAGTGGAAAAAAATAAAACAAAACGAGGACGCCTTGCCCGTACTCGGACTAAGTTATGTTATAAGGTAGGTATATTGAGCAAGGAATAACGTCTAAAAAATCGATGAACAGCAGTTGCACGCACGAAAAAGTGTGACGTCATATGTCATGAGTCACGTTATGTGAACGTGATATATGAGGTCGATGGGTTCCTTTGACTTTATTGTAAATTATTAAGAAAATTTGACCTTTTTGGTAGGTTAGGTAGGTAGGTAGAGGTAAGAACCTACATATAATTATATATATATAATTTTAATACCCTTGTTAGGGTCAAAAGGACTATGCCCGGGGGGCCTTGGGGCACGGTAATAATATCTTATTTAATTACCGTGCACGGGGCAGTACGCTGCGAGGGCCAGCAGAAGCGGTCTAAAGCAGCCATACTCAACCTTTTTTTTATAGGGGCCACAAACACGTTTCAGTCATGGTGTCGAGGGCCGCAAGCAAAAATTATTTAGGTCTTAATTAAAATGTTAAGGGCCTTTCATAAAATAACTAAAATCAGCTTTTTCCGACCCCCCCCCCCCCCCCCCTGTTGTCACGCTGTGTCACACTTTCTGTGACCCCTCTTGAAATATTCCGTCACAAAAACGGAGACCCCCCCCCCCCCCCTCCCCAAGTATGATTAATTTCAATTGATAGTACACAAATTTTAAGAATTTAAATATTTATTTAGTTTTTATAATAAAATTTAAATATATAAATATGCGCTAATGTCGAAAAATAAACATGAGTAAATATATCAAGTTACAATTTATTGTATAATAAAACTATATACGTTTGAATGTCTATATGTTTACTAAATACGAAATAAATGATTTTCTATCTTGATGAAAATTGAGAAAGAAGAAAAATAGTTGAAAGAAATACTAATTTAAATTTTTTTAATAAACGACGAACGTCACGTTGCCGTAGACCCCCCCCCCCCCCCCCCCCCCCCCCCTTTTTATGCGAACGTATTTTATGAACGGCCCCTTATCACAAGTTAAGGTTTTTACTTTTGTCGCTGGCGACAAGTCCGCGGACAAATCCGCGTGTGAATGTATTGGTGAGCGCGGCTCGCGGCTCGGCGCGTGGCGCTCGCCGTCAGGAGACGCGAGCGCCGCGCCACGCCGTACAAATCCGTACGTGTGTGTGCTTTCACAGATTTATCGGTGAACTTGTCAGTCATTTATAGTGCGTGCACGCAGAACCACCTCTTAATTTGTTAATTCTGTATCACGTCTATATCACTTTTTTGACGTTTATGCGATAGTATTTTAAGTCAAAAAGTTGAACATAATACGCAATTAAGTTGATATCAAGTTAATATCATTTTAAAGAGTTGATCATAATACGCTTAATTTGATGTCATTTCGATATCGCATTTTTCGGAGAGCATAATACGTAATGTGAAATTGACATCAAAACAATATCACAATTAGCGAACATAAAGAGCTAATTGTATCTGTTCTACAAGGGGTTTAGCTCTTCTACGCATGTCCTCGGCATGAGCACGTTCTAAATAGTCCATTACTAACACAAAACGAGCCATTTTACTCTTTTTTATTAAAAAACTAGCGGTCCGCCCTCGCTTCGCTTCGGTGTAGAGCTGAAGTGTAGACTACAGTTTTTGTTCTCAGGCTTGTATTATACACAATGACATTCATCTATGATTATTCTTATATCTGCATGCAGTCTCAGCCCGATCGGTTTAAAATTGACAAAGTTTCATACAAACTTTCATTCCCTATTTTATCCCCTTGGGGGTAGAATTGATCAACATCCTTTCTTAGCGGATGCCTACGTCATAACATCTACCTGCATGCCAAATTTCAGTCCGATCCGTCCAGTGGTTTGGGCTGTGCGTTGATAGATCACTATGTCAGTCAGTCACCTTTGACTTTTATATACATACTAGCTGACCCAGCGAACTTCGTACCGCCCTAAAAAAATAGGGGTTGTCCAGCGGACAAAATTGTGAATCTAAACCATTCTCAGATCCCCTTGAACACACACAAAAAATTTCATCAAAATCGGTCCAGTCGTTTAAGAGAAGTTCAGTGACATACACACTCACAGAAGAATTATATATATAAAGAAGATATAGATAAAAACGGTCATTTTTATTACCTGTATTTATAATCAATCTAAAATTCTCATATTTCCGTTTTCCAGTACTCATTTTCTACACGTTTTACATGATTTATTTGCTAATTTTGTTTAAAAATGTTTGGTTTTTATTCTAAGATAAGCACGGTTTCTTAATATCAATTATTGTCTGTCAATAAGGTCGAACGCTCTGAACGCATCAACAGAAAAATATTGAATGAAGCTCGCTTTCTCTTTTTTTTTGTTTCCTCCCAGACGGGCGAGCGGGTGTGAAATCCTCATGGATACCCTACAGCCGGCTCTAGGGTTATATCAGTATCTTACTGACTAAAACACACCCGTGGGGGATGCCTATGGCCTAAGGGCCATACAGGATTCATCTGATGCGATTAACCCCTGAGAAGGGGATGATGCAGCACTGCCTTAGTAAATACTACTGCATAGTGCGCTTAGAGGACGGATGCACTCTGATGTGCATCCGTATCGGTTTAAGACAGAGCGACTGAAGGTCTCTCAGGATCGGGGGGGCGGGGAAGCTCGCTTTCGGACCTCCCGCCTTTTTATACCCTACCGCCGCCGCGACCCGTGTCGAGCGCGGCAACCGTTACACAAAAATAATCCTTATAGCATGATTCAGTATTCACGTGCGACGGCGCGATGGCTTATTTCATGTATAAGTTTGGTGTTTCTATACCGATTTCTATGATTCTCTTTTTATTGAATAGGTAATAATGTTAACTTTTTAAATTAGGGATGAGTGAGAGTAATATAAACGGAAGAGTAAACAAATATAATCAGAATGCTCCGAACTGCTAAGCTATCAGGAGTTACACGTGTTATTGTGAGTCAATCATAAAAGATAGACATATGCTGTTGCGGGATATTTTTTAGACAATTTTATGTAGAATATTTCTGTCATACATGATTTCTATGTAACTTTAATCATTAAGGCTGCACACGCGACGGAAGCTTAAAAAATGGAGTAACTTCTCCCGTTTTCCCAACATTTCCCTTCACTACTCTGCTCCTATTGATTGTAGCGTGATGAAAAGTATACTATAACCTGCCCAGGAGTATGAAGAATAATTGTACCAAGTTTCGTTAAAATCCGTCTAGTAGTTTTTGTTTCTATAAGGAACATACACACAGACAGACAGACAGACAAAAATTTTACTGATTGCATTTTTGGCATCAGTATCGATCACTAAGCACCCCCTGATAGTTATTTTGAAAATATATTTCATGTACAGAATTGACCTCTCTACAGATTTATTATAAGTAAAGATAGATAAAGGAATTTG